CCCAGAATTTTCTGTTTCTCTTCTTGGTCATTACTTTCTAAAGTGTATGGACTGAGGTTAGACTCCTTTCTTCTTCTTCTTTTTTTTTTTTTTTTTTTAGTTTTCTGCTGTTAAAATTTTCCCTGACTTTTATTTTTTCACCTTTTGTTGTTGGGAAAGCACAATTCTCTGGCTGCATTTTATTCTGCCATCTTGATCCAGAAATCTTGTGGTGAGCTTTAAAAAAATAAAAGAGTGAAGAAACATTCTTGGGCCCCACCCTGGACCTTCTGTTGCAGAGGCTCTGGAATAGGGCCAAGTAATTAATTTTTAAAGCCTTCCTGTGGGTTTTCAAATCAGCCAGGTCTAAATCCACCATCCTTATAAAAGAATGTTTATTTTTTCTTTTACCTTTTAGTTAGGCTACCTGAAAAACAAGTTGAGATTTTCTACCTGAAAACACGTCAGATTTCTCAGAAAGACCCCATAAATCGAAAGTTTTTTTTAAGTGGTTTATTTGCTTGTTTTTTTGTTGTGTTGTTGTGGGTTTTGTTTGATTGTTTTGTTTTGAAACGAAGTCTCGTCTGTCACCTAGGCTGGAGTGCAGTGGCATGATCTCAGCTCACTGCAACCTCCGCCTCCTAGGTTTAAGCGATTCTCCTGTATCACCCTCCCAAGTAGCTGGGACTACAGGTATGTGCCACCATGCCCAGCTAATTTTTGTATTTTTAGTAGAGACAGGGTTTCTCCGTGTTGGCCAGGCTGGTCTTGAACTCACGATCTGCCTACCTTGGCCTCCCAAAGTGCTGGGATTACAGGTGTGAGCCACTATGCCCAAACGAACCGTGTTCGTTTTTTAAATAACGGTAATACAAATGGGCAAAAAGCTTGTCCCAAGAGAACAGCAATGGAAAGTTGACCTTTTTTTGTAGTTCCTGAGATAAATATCCTTAGAAATGAAGTTCACTTCGAGATCTCTTTAGCTTCTAGGTTTATGCTGGTATTTATAGAGTGAATTATTTATTAGTGCTTTTAAGAAGCATTTTGAATGCTATATATGGCAGTATTGTCAAAGTGATTCCCATTCATCAGAACTCAATGGTCTTTACCGTATATCACCTACAAGGGATCTAATTTAATCCTGTTTAGGATTTGACTGGTAAAAGAGAACTATAAAGAGTACTGGTTTTACCTGGATCAATAGATTCAGACTCAAGTAAGGCTTCCTTCAACTAGATATAAAACTTACATGATTTTTATGGCTGCTAAGGACTGGAAGGAAGCTACAAAGAAAATGTGGATTTAACGTTTTGGAATAATTTTTATATAAGGTGTGAATTTAGAAGTAGTATTTTCAATTTGTAAGTTATAGGTAACAGAAGAAATGATTAATTTTTTATTTTTTTATTTTTTTGGGGGACAGAGTCTCGCTCTGTCGCCCAGGCTGGAGTGCAGGGGCCAGATCTCAGCTCACTGCAAGCTCCACCTCCCGGGTTTGCACCATTCTCCTGCTTCAGCCTCCTGAGTAGCTGGGACTACAGGCGCCCGCCACTTTGCCCGGCTAGCTTTTTGTATTTTTTAGTAGAGACGGGGTTTCACCGGGTTAGCCAGGATGGTCTCGATCTCCTGACCTCGTGATCCACCCGTCTCGGCCCCCCAAAATGCTGGGATTACAGGCCTGAGCCACCGCGCCCGGCCAAAATGATTAATATTTAAAAGCATGCAGTAGTCTGGGCACGGTGGCTCATGCCTGTAATTCCAGCACTTTGGGAGGCTGAGGTGAGAGGACTGCTTGAGGCTAGGAGTTTGTGACCAGCCTCAGCAACATGGCAAGACTCGGTCTCTACAGAAAATAAATAATAAAAATGAGCTGGGCGTGGTGGTGTGTACCTGTAGTCCTAGCTACTTGGGAGGCTAAGGTGGGAAGATCCCTGGGGCCCAGGAGTTCGAGGCTGCAGTAAGCCATGATCGCGCCGTTGCACTCCAGTCCAGGTGACAGAACAAGACCCTGTCTCTAAAAAAATTAAAATAAAAAATAACAATGAATTGTAAAATAAACCATGCACTAGAAATACCTCACATGCAGCCGCTAGGCTTTTCCAGTACTCTAATCACCCATATGTGCTGCTCTCAATATATTTGGAAAATAACCCATTGATTATGTAGTCATCTGTTTTGCATACACTTCCCTTTCTTTTTTTTTTTTTTTTTTTTTTTGAGATGGAGTCTCGCTCTGTCGCCCAGGCTGGAGTGCAGTGGCACAATCTCAGCTCACTGCAACCTCTGCTTCCCGAGTTCAAGCCATTCTCCTGCCCCAGCCTCCCGAATAGCTGGAATTACAGGCACACGCCACCACGCCCAGCTAATTTTTGTATTTTTAGTACAGACGGGATTTCACCATGTTGGTCAGGCTGGTCTCGAACTGCTGACCTTGTGATCTTCTCGCTATGGCCTCCCAAAGTGCTGGGATTACAGGCGTGAGCCACTGTGCCCGGCCTCCTTTCATTCTTGATCCTTGTGGTGGTGTTTTTACTATATCTACCTTTTAAGGAGTGATTGTGATCATAATCCAACTCAAAAGACCTGTACCATGCTTTTGACATAAAATATTTCTCTTTTTTGCATTGCTTTTTCTCCAAGGGACGTTCTTTAAGGAAATCATTGCTTTTTCACATTCTTTTGGATCTAGAATTATTAAACTCTGCTATGTATCTTCAGTATTGGCAGAGAAAGCATGTCATAGTTGATACGTTGACGTGTATGCCAACACGATCTCAGTCTTGAATTAACTGCATTCTTTCATCAGTTGGTCTAATTATAACTTTTAAACTATTATTATATATACATGCCTCCATTTTTTGAATAACTGCAACAGTTGATATTCTACTGGATGTTATCTAGTCCCTCAGAATTTCAAAACAAGAAGGACAATGGAGGTCATGTCGTCCAACCCCTGCTGACGTACACATTAGGAACGGGAAGCACAGACTGGCTCATTTGCCGAGGTCATGCTGTCCGGGCACATGGTCTCTTGATTTCCAGAGCCATGCCCTTTGTACTAAAGCCGGTGGTCTCTCCCATCATCTAGTAGCATTTGTTACAGATGAAACTACATGTCACTTGGTATGCAAAACACACCATGATCAAAATTGTAAATTCATTATCACATATTTTTCTAGGCACATCTGTAGATTCGGGGGAAGTAGAAGAAATAAAAGTAAAATGTGAAATAATAAAGAGGAATAGCAACAGGGAATTAACAAGGAAGTGAGGACTGAGATGCTGACACATGGCGAGTTCCTACTGTGGATTACTGCTCAGCATGCTCTCGCTATTTCTTGGCCGGGTGCAGTGGCACTTTGGGGGACCGAGGTGGGTGGATCACCTGAGCTCAGGAGTTCGAGACCAGCCTGGCCAATGTGGCGAAACCCCGTCTCTACTAAAAAGCACAGACATTAGCTGGGCATGGTGGTGTATGCCTGCAATCCCAGCTACTTGGGAGGCTGAGGCAGGAGAATCACTTGAACCCGGGAGGCGGAGGTTGCAGTGAGCCAAGATCGTGCCATTGCACTCCAGCCTGGGAAACAAGAGGGAAACTCTGTCTCAAACAAACAAGAAAACATGCTATGGCTATTTCTCTAACTACAGTCACCTGAAGTCAGGACCCAGGAGAAATCAGTCAGTAGAACCAGTGTTAGTGAGGGGTTTTTTTTTTTATGTGATTACCTCTTAGTTTTTGTGTCTATTTGTAAATATAAAGAAAAATATTTAGATTCTTAACTTCGAGATGAGATTAGGAAGGGAAACTAGGATGATTTTGGCCAGTCTGAATGTGTTCAATGTAAACCTGCTAGGCAGGTTAAAAGTTTTTCTAGTTAAATGTCTTAGCATCAACACTCCCAAAATATTGTTTCAACTTCCTTCAAGAAGACTTATTCACAGGTGGTTTTCATGTGCTCGCTGGTAGAGCAGCCAACACAGCCTTAGAAACATGCCCTTGAACTCTGATTTTTTTTTTTTTTTTTTTTTAAACAGAGTTTCACTCTTGTTGCCCAAGCTGGAGTGCAATGGCGCAATCTCGACTCACTAAAACCTCCTCCTCCCGGGTTCAAGCAATTCTTCTGCCTCAGCCTCCTGAGTAGCTGGGATTACAGGCATGCACCACCATGCCCAGCTAATTTTTTTTTTTTTTTTAGTAGGGACGGGGTTTCTCCATGTTGGTCAGGCCAGTCTCAAACTTCCAACCTCAGGTGATCTGCCTGCCTCGGCCTCCCAAAAGTACTGGGATTACAGGCATGAGCCACCGTGCCCGGCCGGTGTTAAATGTTTTAATTTAAACATTTGGACACAGTTTTCCTTGGATTTGAAGCAATAATGCCCCAACTCAGGATGACCACGAGAGAATGGTGGCCTGATAAGAAAAACAGCTCAGTGCTACAAATGAAAGCCACTGAACGGCTGGGCGCAGTGGCTCACACCTGTGATCCCAGCACTTTGGGAGGCCGAGGCATGCAGATCATTTGAGGTCAGGAGTTCAAGACCAGCCTGACCAACATGGTGACACCTCCTGTCTATTAAAAATACAAAAAAAATTAGCCAGGCGTAGTGGCGGGCACCTGTAGTCCCAGCTACTCAGGAGGCTGAGGCAGGAGAATCACTTGAACCCGGGAGGCGGAAGTTGCAGTGAGCTGAGATCATGCCACCGCACTCCAGCCTGGGCAACAGAATGAGACTCCATCTCAAAAAAAAAGAAAGCCACTGCATATTTACACATGGTCTGTCCTCTCCAATTAAATAATTCTGTTCTTATTTGCTCTGCCTTTGAGACAAAAGATGAAAAGCTGTGCACGTTCTTAATAACAGTAGCTTCATCACACATGTTGAAAGATTGAAGGAAATGGATTTCAGCTGTGGACATTGTTTGTTTTAAACTTGTAACAAAAGCACTAATGTTATCTTTCATTCCTGATTTCTCAATTATCTTTCTATGTAAAGCTGACATGTCTGCATTTTTATTTTAGGAATCTTTCAAAGAAGTACCAACCTAAAAAGAACTCGAAGGAGGAGGAAGAATACAAGTATGTTTACCATTGAAAATTGTCTTGTAATAGACACATGCCATTGGTGACTACACACAGAAAGGAGAAATACATGTCTATAAAAATAAGTTGCATTTCCCATTCATTTTGTGTCAGTTTTTAAATTGGAGGAGAGAACAATAAAAACATAATTAACTTTTCTTATACGGAGTCACTGGACCTATGCCAGATTGTTTCAATTAAAGTAATTAGGAAAACTTTAGAATGTAATTAAGCAAAAACAGGAAGTATGGAATCTGCATTCCAGAGTCTTGATTTGGTTTGGCACTATCAGGAGTCCCTGTTATGCTAATCATTCACCCAAGAAATATGTCCATTTCAGTCAGTGATTAAGGCATCTTAACACAGACAGCTCAAATACTATATCTCTAATGTATATCTAAATATCCTTTACATTAGTACATGCAGCATGTATATGAATTTTGGATTATATCTTGGCTAAGTATTAAAGCCAAATATTACATTACGCAGAACGGTTCAGTTTTGCAAAATGAAAAGTGTTTCCATTGTAATTAATTCTGAGCCATTTTGATGAGAAGACTCGATGTGTAATGAATACTCAGGATCCTATGGGAGGTGATGCCAATTAACCTGATTTTAATTAATATTTTCTTGGTGTAAAGCAGAATATGAATGAACGTGGCCTTGTGTGAAACGGAGCGGTGTGTGTTCTGTTCCATAGGTATACGTCATGTAAAGCTTTCATTTCCACCCTGAACGAAATGAATGATTATGCGGGGCAGCATGAAGTTATCTCCGAGAACATGGCATCACAGATCATTGTGGACTTGGCACGCTATGTTCAGGAACTGAAACAGGAGAGGAAATCAGTAAGCAAAACTTTATTCTTTTTCTTCCTAGAGGATGGACCAAACACAGTGGGAATATCCCTAGATGATTAAAATTAAATAAAACCATATAAGACTATGGGTCTTAAACTCACACCTTTGAGAATCATATTAAAGTTATGGACCCTAGCTGGGCGCGGAGGCTCACGCCTGTAATCCCAAGACTTTTGGAGGCCGAGGTTGGCGGATCACAAGGTCAGGAGTTTGAGACCCTGTCTCTATTAAACCCCGTCTCTATTAAAAATACAAAAATTAGCCAGGCGTGGTGGCATGCGGCTGTGATCCCAGCTACTCAGGAGGCTGAGGCAGGAGAAATGCTTGAACCTGGGAGGCGGAGGTTGTAGTGAGCCGAGGGAGGTTGCGCACCTGCCCTCCAGCCTGGGCAACAGAGCAAGACTCCGTCTCAAAAAAAAAGTTACGGACCCTGTTCTAGGTCTCTACGTAAAATGTCAAGGGTCCTTCAGACAGTCTGAAACTCATCTGTGGACCCAGGAATATGCATCCCTTTGAGGAATTTAAATATATTTCAGGGTATCAGACATTTAAAAAACAAGTAAGTAATATAATATGGCGTATGCTCTGTGGAATAAGCAGTATTAAAATTAGTGTTTATCAGCCAGGCATGGTGGCTCACGCCTGTAATCCCATCACTTTGGAAGGCCTAGGCAGATGGATCACCTGAGCTTAGGAGTTCGAGAACAGCCTGGCCAGCATGGTGAAACCCCGTCTCTACTAAAAATATAAAAATTAGCTGGGCGTGGTGGCGGGCACCTATAACCCCAGCTACTAGGGAGTCTAAAGCATGAGAATTGCTTGAACCCAGGAGGCGGAGGTTGCAGTGAGCCGAGATCTCACCATTGCACTCTAGCCTGGATGACGAGCAAAACTCGACCTCAAAAGAAAAAAAAAAAAGTAGTGCTTGTAAGTAGGTCAAAAAACTGGAAAGATGTCCCCAGTTACATCCATTCTGTTCCTCAGCTCATTCATTGCTGTCTAATGAAGCACACCTTATTGTTCCTCTTACCACCATTTTCGTCTTTTCATAAATAGGTTTTGTTGTTAACCAAAGACAAAAATGAATGCTCAAAGTCTATTCTTAGTCATGATTTTGCCTTAAGGGATTTATCTGTAAGCCATGGTCTATATCATTGTACTTTGATTGCATGTGAAGTGCAGAATAATTTGTTACTAGTAATAAAGTAGCCATGTTAGCCAGTGATAAAGGTTTTTGTTTTTTTTTTTTTTTTTGAGATGGAGTTTCGCTGTGTTGCCCAGGCTCGAGTGAAGTGGTGCGATCTTGACTCCCTGCAACCTCTGCACCCTGGGTTCAAGCGATTCTCCTCCCTCAGTAGCTGAGATTACAGGTGCCCACCGCCATGCCCAGCTAATTTTTTGTATTTTTTGTAGAGATGGGGTTTCACCGTATTGGTCGAGCTGGTCTCAAACTCCTCAGACCACCATGATTCACCCGCCTTGGCCTCCCAAAGTGCTGGGATTATAGGCGTGAGCCACTGCGCCCGGCCACAACAGTTCTTTTAATGCCCTGGGGATGCATGAGCCAACAAGATTGCTATGACTTCTGCTGAAATGGAGGAGACATTAAGTAATAATGACAAAAGTGATTATTTAATTGCAATTATGATAGTTACCACAAAGTAAGAGTACAACATGCTATGAGAGCATACAATGGGATTGCTGACATGCTCATGCTCTGGGGTCAGGAAGAAGCTTCCCAAGGGACTTTGTGGTTAAGGCCTTAACAAGACTTGAGGGATGATTAGGACCTGCGTGGGACAAGCATTCAATAGAGAACAGCCAGGGCCCTTGGGCAGGAAGGCATTTGAAAATGTCTCAATTTAGTTCTTTCTAAACTATAAATGTGTAGCATATGGCCTTGGATAGGTTTAAAAGTTAGGAAGAGATAAATGCCTGAAGATCACCCCATTGGTTTAAAACAACAATATGCCAATAAACTGAGATGAATCTTCATCTGTTGACATTAGCATAATGGTTCTCAACTAGGGACAGTTTTACTCCCTACTCCAGCCACATTTGTCAGTGTTCGGAGACACTTTTGGTTGTCTCAGGGATTGTGGCTAAGGGGTTGCTACTGGTATCTAGAGAGAAGAGGCCAGGGAGGCAGCTAAGCATCCCGCAATACATGGGACAACTTCACAACAAAGAATGACCTGGCCGGAAATGTCTATAGTGCTCAGTGTGAGAAACCCTGCACTGGAGCCCTAAATTAGATGACAACCTCTGCTGGACCATTCATTAAAGATTTCTTTAGTGACAGAAAGGATGCAGTGAAACAGAATACTAAGGTTCAGAATGAAGTACAAATGTCTAATATAGTGATAAAATAAATACTGGAAATCTTAACATGATCATGGACTGCCTCCCTGGACCCTGAACTTCCCTTGACCTTGCAAAGCTTTATATTTTTTCCCTATTTGTTTCTTTTGTCAATGCTTTGTCTCTTTTTTTTTTTTTTTCAAGACAGAGTCTCACTGTGTTGCCCAGGCTGGAGTGCAGTAGCACAATCTCACCTAAGTGCAACCTCCACCTTCCAGATTCAAGCGATTCTCCTGCCTCAGCCTCCCAAGTAGCTAGGATTACAGGCACATGCCACTATACCCGGCTAATTTTTTGTATTTTTGGTAGAGACAGGGTTTCATCACGTTGGCCAGGCTGGTCTTGCACTCCTGACCTCATATGATCCACCCGTCTTGGCCTCCCAAACTGCTGGGATTACAAGCGTGAGCCACCGTGCCCCCTCATATTCCTACGCTGTGTTATGACCAAGTTGTTTTGTACTTTATTTACTCACTGTTAATCATGACTTTTTTTATAGTCTGTCATATCTGTATTTTGGATTTAGTTCCTTTTGTTAATCAAAAATTATAGTAATTTATGGAATAAATTATAGGTGGTACAGATACACATTAAATATCTTGCAATACATAGTGTTCCTTTTATTTTAAGGAGAACTGCAAGTACAGGTTTCTGAGTCAGATGTTCTGTTGGGAGGAGCTGTAAACATGCTCTTTTGAAATATTCTGTAATTAAATTAAAATGACATTTTAGAAAATCGTGAAACCTTTTGAAACATTAGAAAGAATATCAGTAAACAAATGTGTGTATTTGTGCTATTTTATTTTATTTATTGAATTTATTTTGAGACGGAGCCTCGCTCTGTTGCCCGGGCTGAAATGCAGTCACGCGAACTCGGCTCACTGCAGCCTCTGCCTCCCGGGTTCCAGCAATTCTCCTGCCTCAGCCTCCTCAGTATCTGGGATTACAGGCACCCCCAGCCATGCCTGGCTAATTTTTGTGTTTTTAATAGAGATGGAGTTTCACCATGTTGGCCAGGCTGGTCTCGAAATCCTGAGCTGAGGTGATCCGCCTGCCTCGACCTCCCAAAGTGCTGGGATTATAGGCGTGAGCCACCGCACCTGACCTGTTTGTACTATTTTAATATAATGCCTCATGAGCACTTTTTTTCTTTTTCCTTTTTTCTTTCTTTCTTTCTTTTTTTGAGACAGGGTCTCATTCTGTTGCCCAGGCTGGAGTGCAGTGGTGAGATCATGGCTCACTGCAGCCTCAACCTCCTGGACTTAAGTGATCTTCCTATCTTAGCCTCCCAAGTAGCTGGGACTATAGGCATATGCCACTATGCTCAGCCAGTTTTGAAAAATTTTGTAGAGACAAGGTCTTGCTATGTTGCCCTGTCTGGTCTCAAACTGCTGGGTTCAGGTGATTCTCTCACCTCAACCTCCCAAAGTGCTGGGATTATAGGCATAAACCCCCATGCCTGGCCTGTTTTTTTCTGTTTTCTAACATAATTGTTGCCGTTATTTCTAATGAGTAAATAATGAATTAGCATTGTGGTATACTAATCACTGTAATTTTAAAAATTATTCCAATAATATTGGAGGCCGGGCGTCATGGCTCACACCTGTAGTCGCAGCACTTCAGGAGGCCGAGTGTTTAGCCTCGTGCTTGCTATAGATAATAATAGCTAACCTCAATGGGGACTGCTAGTTTTCCAGATTTTACCCAAGATAAGGACCCTGGAGCACAGGAAGGTGAAGTGAGCTGGGCGTGTTGCTCTGTCGAGGAGCTGTGTGTCCCCCAGGCTGCCTCCTTCTCAGGGCAGTGCATGTTTGCAGACATGGTTTTGTTTCCAGTGAGTTTTTTTCAACATACCTTCAAGGATGCTGGAGTAAACAGTATGAACATCCTCATCTGCAGCTAGCCTTAGAAAAAGAGCTGTTTGGCTGGGCGCGGTGGCTCACGCCTGTAATCCCAGCACTTGGGAGGCTGAGGTACGAGAATCGCTCGAACCTGGGAGGTGGAGGTTGCAGCGAGTTGAGATGGCACCACTACACTCCAGCCTGGGTGACAGAGTGAGACCCTGTCTCAAAAAAAAAAAAAGGAAAACAAAGAAGAAAAGGAGCTATTTAAGACCTTCTCGTAATAACCAACATTTCTCCTTTAGAGCTTTTACTTTTTTTTGGCTACCCTGACTTAACTTAGTAAACACTAATTTTTGTAAGGATGAGTCTTAAAAGAACAGTGGAATGCTATCATTTTTGTCTTCTGGTGAGGTTAATTATTGGTGGACATAGCATAACAGAGTTAGAACTCAAATCCAGGTCTTCTGAGGCCAGACTCAGTCACCGTCCCACTGTGCTGTGATGAGGGGCTGACAGCATGCTTCAGGTCTGTCTTAAAAGATGGGGAGAGGCCACTGAAGTTCTGTGTTCACAGAGCTGGAGCCCGCTGCTTGGTGGTGGGCAGAGGAGAGGAAAGGACGCAAGCGTTCCAGCCGACAACCTTGCTCAGGATTCCTGGCAGCCCTGCCCTAGGCAGGTTATGAAAACTCTTTGAGCATCCACTTAGGAATCTGTAAGCTGAGGCTGATCATAGCCACCTTAGGGAGTTGTGGGGACGATTGTGAGAAGACAAATATGAATCTC